ACCAACGAATAGTGGGATTGGCCATCACATTATAACGCCCCCACGGCTGAAAGGACAAGCATGTTTGGTGGGATGGGGATTCGAACCCGCGACCCTCAGATTACGAGTCGAGCGCCCTCACCACCTGGCCATGCAGGGCCTTTAATTATTGTATTGTCCTTGTAGGACTAACTAAATAATAAGGAAAATGTAATGTTCTTTTTAGGACTTGATGTAATTATAAATGAATTAATGAATTAATTACAATTTAATGAAGTAGTGTTAAGTATCCTTTTTACGACGATTTAATTATAAATGATTAATTATCAACATTATGAGACATGTATTGTATGAGTCATGGCCGCCTGTCATGGCTGCATAAAAACACGTTCTCTATTTTGTGGTAGGATGATTTAATTATCAATTAATGTTCACTGTTCTTATTAGGATTAACTAATTAATTAGTGCTTTTAAGGACGAATTAATTAACTAATGAATTAGAGTTAACTGTCCTTTTTTAAGATGATTTAATTAATGACTGATTATCGATATGATGAGACATGTATTGTATGAGTCATGGACGCCTATCATGGCGGCCTAGAAACACATTCTCTACTTTGTGGTACTATTACATATTCATCCATCATGGCCGTCTGTCTAACGGCGCGCCCCTTGCGGTAACAATTGGAACTATGCCATCATCATCTTTGATGACATCACCCCATCTCCCCCTCCCCTGAGGCAGCTAATCAGCGCGTGTGTCCAGAGTGGGGCTTTTACTACTAACACAGACTTTCAACTGCTACAGCGTTTGATTTAATGCAAACGAGATAGTAGGGACAGTATTTGCATCATCCCTACATAATAGCACAGGCACACAGTGTATTAACAGACACAAATAGGATAAATTAAACTCAATTGTGATTTAATAGTTATGTATATTTCTATATGTTAATTCTTATCTGTGCCATCCCTACTATCCTGTTTGCATTGTTTTTGCAAGATTGATACTAGCCATTTACTTACAATTTTTGAAAGGGTTTTTCTTTACTTGTAGATATAGAAGTGTTCCTTGGTGCTGGTTTAATGTAGGTTTATGTACTTTTACTAGAAGAGCTTTAATTTTTCGTTTATATATATTTGTTTCTCTGTATAATATGTTAGTGTTCTCTATGTTAATATTGATTTTACTTGAGTTACAATGAGGGTGTTTTTTTGTGTTCACTGAACCTGGTTTATATTTTTCGGCTTGTTTCTCAGATACAAAATTCATGGTAGTTGTTGCTTTGTATTTTATACACCGTATTAACATTGTATTTCTGAAAGTAATATTTACGTAATATAGTTTCTGTTTTGGTACCTGGTTTTGGTTCAATTTAGTGTTTACTGGGATGTTATGTTTGATTGTAAGTTTTTTCCAAATGTTGATTATTTGGTCACTGATATTTGGTATGTAACGCATGCACCAGTGTAGTGTTTTGTTGTTAGGTGTTTCATTGACTTTCGGATTGTTGATTGGCTATCCGTTGTGTTTTTGGTCGAGGTTTATGCGTATAATTAGCAGTGCACGTTGAGACAATTCAACGGCAATTTTCCTAAAAATAGTTATTAATAAATTTAAAATGTGTAGTCAACCCAATCCCTTGGATCAGAGCGTATATACAATATGATTTTCTTTTGAGCCGTTTACAACAGTATTTTTTCATTCGATGTGTTATTTCAACAAGGAAAACTGTACTGAGTTCGTTTTTAACCAAAGGAGGCTGACTGCGATGCACTTTGGCAAAAATTTTTGAGTTTATATGCAATGAATTCATCCAGGACAATAGAGTACCCAGGTTCGTTAAGTAGCCGCGAGGATTTTTCCACTAGATGCCACAGTTCTTTGTCATTTTACTGAGTGCAAGAAAAGACCACCACCGAAGTGAGTTTTCATTTCTATAAGAAGTATCAAGGGGAAGATAATAAATTCAAATCAATTTATTCGAGATGGTACATTAAAATCATACATTTATAAAATACCGACACGATATATATAAAGAACAACAACAAATATATATACCCAAACACATTCCTGTCTTTATGCGTTTTTTCCGTTCATGCTCCTATCTTTGAAATATTTCTTTCAATCAGTTGATGGAGGAAGTCCCGTTTTGTTACTTTAAACTCCCTCTCAAAAATAAATATTTTTGTTCTCAATCATTGTTTCTCAGATTGACCGTTCATCACATATGAAGACTGACAGATCAATGTTGATACTAATATGAAATTTTAGGAGGTGCAAAAAAATGAATTATTTTCCTGTAATGTACTCCTGAAAATAAGGATTTTGACATATATATACATATATACATTTGCTACTGTTAACCATTCAGTAGATACAGAGTGTGGCAGACAGGCAGACATTTGATTATTATATGTATAGATTTTTTCTACAGTTTTTGGAGGAAATTTATTCATGCTGATATAGCGTTGTTTTAATTGGTTCACTTCGTCGTTAAGGTTGTCAGGTGAGCAAAGTTTTGTAGCTGTGTTTATTAGGCTTTTTAGGATGTTGAGATTTTTTTTCTTGTTTCATATGCCGAGTCCCAGGGAATGCACAGTAGAGTATGGTTGATTTTTCTGTGGATTTTTATTTTAAACTGTGTATCTGATCTGGTGATATTTAGGTTCAAAGATCTTAGTTTTCTTTTTCGTATTTACTGGTGAACTCAATATCTGGATGTATGGAATTAATGTGGTTGAAAAAGCGAAGTGTGTGTTCTTCAGATGTGAATCCAAAAACTGTAGAGCTTTTATACCTATATTAATTACTTCATTGTGTCCCTATCGCGCAGTGGATAGCGCGTTGGATTTCTAATCCAAAAGTACCGGGTTCGTTCCCCGGCAGGGATGCCACCACCATTACCTGGTCCCAAGTCCAGGATGAGAAAGGAGGAGGGTTGGGTAGCAACTCCGCCCCGTAAAAACCAACCTGCTAAAAAATTACTGCAACAACAACTTCCGTCGGCGAGGTGTTGTTGGGGCCCTATGCTCTAGTGGAAGTCTACAGGGATTACTATTATTATTAATTATTTCATTAAGCGTGTTCACGTATGGTATTGCACTGCTGACTACCAATATAATAATACAATAAAATATATACAATGCTCTCTACAATCTTATACAATTCATTATTGTTGCCCTTCACGACACGTGATCAATAACGGTCACAGTTTCAAAGTCATTCTTAACTTGATGATGACTTAAGCTGGTCGAAACTTTGTTACTTGTCTTGTGTTTTAAATAAATGTTTTAATACATATTAGCTGTATCTACCATATATTTTCAATGATGCTTGGAGACGGCTTGAATGGGTAATGAAGAAAAACTTTAATATAAGTTCAACAGCAAATGTACAACGTTTCGACAAGGTTTTGTCATCATCAGGTACTATATATTTTAATGAATATTGCCCAGGGTGTTTTTTTCACTTATTACTGTGTGTGAACAGTAGAAAACCAAAAAATTCATATGTTTTTGATCAAACTTGGTTCAAAGTTTCGGTTCTCAAAGAGTCGATTGTTAAACCTTTGGTGAATATAGGTCAAGGTCATACAGCAGGTTCATCAGTGCTGGCCTTTGTCACTGCGAGGTCCTAGGTAAGATACAAAATGTGGGGCCCCTCATAGTATTGGGCAATAACAAAAAAATGAAATTAAGTAATGATAAGTTTGCTAGCATTAATTTTTTACTACCTTTCAGTCTACATTTTGACTGACTGCTAAGAACAATTTCACAACATATTACCTATTACATTTTGGAACGAGCTTATTGGTGCTTGGAATTACTTTTAATGACAGAAATTGTTTTACCGAACGATGTGGTATGTTCTTTAACAGTCCATACCTATGGTTTTGGTGTTCTTTCAGGTCCCCATAACGAGTGGCCCTAGGCAGCTTGCTAAGCTTTGCTTGCCTTAAGGCTGTTTCTGACTTTTGTTATATAATTACAGCAAATAGGTATATAAAAAAACGGTTAAACATGACAATGTATTGAAGCAGTAAAGGGATATTTATGCCTACATTATTAAGGGAGAGAAATTGTTTGTTGTACAATTTAAATTGTTTATTTCAAAATTTAAAAACACTTTAGGGTGGATAATGTATTCCTTGAGTGCCTTTCTAGATTTATTTTTTCAGTGGAATACATTCATACACGTACGTATTTTTAATTGTGAAACAAACAAATGCAAACGGGGAAATTTATTTATACAATATTTCATTTGTCTACTTTGATTTTCATTCTTCAATAAAGTAAATTATTATAATTATCTGACATAATTACCTTATTGTAAGCATGAAGCCTCCCATAAAAAAAGGACATGCGAATTGAGAAAGTCATCGTTATTAGCTTACTGAATGTTATATTGAGACTGTTAACTTTAAAACTAAAATGTTTTGAGAAATTAAACTCGGCTGTGAGTGAAATGTTTTCGGGAATATTTTGTCTTCTCAGACTGTGTTTAAACTGTTGGGAAGATCCCTAGAAGATTACTATTTCTTATTCATATTTCTTGGTTTACCATTTCACGAATTGTCCTTTATCATTACTTTATAATTTTTCTTTAGTTATCAGAAAAACTACAGTGTCACACTTTTTAAGTCAGTGACCCCTTCTCAGAAGGAAGTGCTAAGAAAGGTACAAAAAATCAAACAAGAGCCATCGTGGGATAGCAATCCTGAATGGTGTGAGTTACAGAAGCAGACAGAGTACAAAAAACCCCAAGCAGCTACGTTTGTTGAAGCAGAAGACTTGGTGTCAAGAAATAACTGTTTGAAAGCAATTAAATGTAAGTATAATCCCTCTCTCTGAATTTTGGAAGTTTTTACATTCATTGTAATTCATTTCGTTTCAGTTTCTTACTTTTTTTGTGCATCATAAAATCCTTGATTATTTTTCTAGGGCGAATTGTTAAACATATAGTCTATATATATTTTTGGGAAGGAGGGGGAAAATGGAGAGATAAATAATTGTTATTGGCCATATAAAGTGTTGTAGCAAATACCAAGTAGCTCCAGAAAGCTTTTAACCTTTTTTTATTGTTTTTAAAAAAAAATCAGTGGAATGAAGAATCTTAACTATATCAGTATCTCAATGACTCACGTAAATGATTGTAACAGATGTATGTTGCAGTTCTTGGAGTTGTGGCCTTCTTCTTAGTGGCATCCAACCTTATTAAATCTTTCTTAAAGCATTTGTGGGGGTTGATGTATCTGTAGAACTTGTATTTACTCATATTATTAGAATTACTATTGCATTGTTAGGTTGCTTCATTTCTGTAGAAAGAATATATTGTACAAGCCAATATCACCAGAAAACGTGTGTGATGCAGCAACTTAAATACTTATATATCCATTATTAACAAAAGGCCTTAATTAAGGATAATAATAATAATAATAGACAAAAACTGTCTACTTCCAGTTTGCATGGATTGAAATCAATGTCGTTATATTTTACAATTAGAAAGTATGAATCATAATCTTCTACAACAGCAAACTTATCACCATTAGAGACTTCGCTGAGCTGAGAAGTATGACTGTGTAGTTCTTCTTAAATTAATCACCATAGAGACTTCACTGAGCTGAGAAGCATGACTGTGTAGTTCTGCTTAAATTAATTACCATAGAGACTTCACTAAGCTGAGAAGTATGACTGTGTAGTTCTGCTTAAATTAATCACCATAGAGACTTCACTGAGCTGAGAAGTATGACTGTGTAGTTCTTCTAAATTAATCATCATAGAGACGTCACTGAGCTGAGAAGTATGACTGTGTAGTTCTTCTTAAATTAGAAATTTTTTGTGTTGTGTTGTCTTACGCAGTGTTCTACTTTGATATATTTATGCTAGTGATGAGTAAATATATTGTTCAGATATGTAGGGGGTGGCAGTATAATACACTATTAACAGCTTTTAAACATATGCTAGTCACTTGATCTTAACTCTGAAGTTGATAACTTAAAAACTTCTACATTGTTGTAATATACTACTCTACAGGCGTTGTTACTTTAATGGCAGCAGTTATTTCTTTGTTTTTTTTTTTATATCATAATTTAAATCTAAATATTTTGTCTTAGTGGAAATTGAGAGAGAAGGACGTTTAATGTCTGGTGAAATTCAACCATCATCTGAAGGTGTAGATGTGAGCAAAGAGCTAAACCAACTTAATTCCTTGGTTCATATTTATCATCTGCAAGAAGAAGCACAAGAGAAGATCATGTCTAAAGTTGAAAGCATCATCTTAAAGTACTGTGATTATCTGGCTAAGACCACTTTGAAACATCAAAATGAAAGAAAGGTTTGTGATGTCAACTAGTTCTAGTTTCAACCATATGTAACAGGGTAGCACACAACCTGCCAAACTAACAGCTTTGTGATTTAATATTGTTAATAATGTTATTTGTTACTCGATAATGATAAGTGTGTAACTAATATTGCATACTCCATTATCTAATATTCCAATCCTCTTTTATAAGTATAAACTCTTCTTACGTAATTTGTGAAAAGGTGAAATATTTTTATGATACCTGTTGTCATTCATATTTAAAGTTCTTGACAACTGGTCATCCAAATGTTACACCTGTGTTAGACTAACGCATCTTAACACCCCGAATTTGCAATTTCAAATATATTATTTAAATAGCTGGACAACAGTATACAATTCAAATGTCGTTTCATTTTTATATTTCTAAAAAAAATATATATAAATAATAATTTTTACCACTAGTAAATGACAAATAAAGCATCAAACGACTACTAACATAGACTCAAGATGTAACGCATTTCATTCATCAATATTAATGGAAATAATTATGAAGACACACAAACGATAAACATACAGAAGTCACAAATAATGAGTACTTACAACTAGATGGTGAATAAGTTTTAGAATGTAGCAGTATTTTGTATGTGATCCCTTTGTTTACACAGAGCATTACACGTTGTTTTCATGCTCTCATAAAGTATATTGTACGATTGCGCAATATTGCTTCAAGTACCAATCATTATTCTCGATTTAGCCAAGTTGTTTGGTCGCCTTTTGATCTTCTAAGTTTCTATATAAATCAATACATCCTCAAGAATGTTCTTATCAGAACTTTGTGCAGGCCAAGTCATGGATTTAGGTGTTACATTTGCTGCTATATCGGCAAGATATGGTTTCACCCCATTTACTGTATGCTGGGGATCAGTCTTGCTCGAACGTCCTTCCCGATGAGTAGTGTTCCTCATGCAATGGAAAGATGGTTCAGAATCTGCATGTGCTTGTTAAAAGTTAGGGCGCTATCAGTTTTAAGTATACCACCGAAGCGTTTGCCTAAGATTCAGCCCCAAACTTGCACTGATCCCCCCATTATACTTCTCTGTAGACGTTATACATTGACTATGATACTATTTCATTATTTTTCATTGACCAAACTATCACTGCAGGGTTGCGAACAAATATAATTTTGGAGTACTGATTGTGATATTATTGCTGAAAGTAAGATGGTACAATATATGAATATTGTACAAAAAAAAAAGGTTTTTCTTTATTATTTGTTCGTTGGAGCTCGGAAGTTTCCCGAAACGTACTTTTTCTTTCTATTTTATTCTTTATTTTGCACTTTTTAGCTATTATGTAAGTAAAAATATATTTTGGAAAAATCGTTTGCAAAAAAAAAATCTTAAGTCCTTTAAACATAATTCGGTACCATCTGTATTGAAAAGTCCGTCAAGATAGCTGGTTATTGTTAAGGTATTTATTGCATACATTCACATTAATAATGGGCAGTGACCCAGATACGCATCCAATTCGAAGAAAGAAACCTAAATGGTGTCAGAGTGAACAAACATATAAACCAGAGTACAACGTGGAGCTAGCTCCCAGTAATTACAAAATCAAACATATAAAGATATCGCGCTTACTGCTAACCATGCCAGTTAAAAATAGCATAACAATAACATTTTGCGCATGATCGGTAGTGTAGTGGTCATAACATTTGTAATATCCGGCCGTAGTTTGTGGCTCCAGTTTTATTTCACATTTTTAAGTTTTGGTTTTTCTGACATTGATTGTTTCCAAACAATTCCAACTTGTATTAATCTTTAAACAGTAAATGTATACAGTTTTGCTCATTCTACTGTTTATGGCTCGATGCCCATTTCAATCTTTGGGTTTCGTTACGTTTTCCCAGCAGCGTTTTTCGAAATTTTTGCACATCCATTGAGGTCAATTTATGCTAATATGTATCTTACTGTTCTAGAGGTAGCATTCTCATCTGTATTCATAGGAACAGTAAGATACATATTATTTATAATTTACATTGAATGATTAGTTAGGGGTCCTTGTCCAGGGCGTCTAAGGTCTTGCTGGTTTTAAACTAAAACGTTTTTGAACACCCGAGGCAGGGGACAGTCAAGTACAGATCTTGCTAACGATATTAATTCTAAATTGTTCTTTGAAAAGACATCTCAAGCATAAACGTTGTTTAGTAATAGTTATTTCAATAAATGCAATTCACACGGAAAATATTGCTTTGTCCAGTAACAGGGAAGTTTTAAATAGAATATTTATACACATGCTAGGGTATCCCTGAGACCATGTTGCAGACCACCGTTTGGAAACCACTGATCTATCTCTAAAAAAAGAACATACTCTGAGATACTTAACATCAATTTTGTAATGTTTAATGTTTCTACTTCTTCATAGGTTTTATATACAGCTGCTACTTAAACATGGAATCTTTGATCACTAAATACTACTACTGATACTACTACTGGGCACAGTATGACCACCTGTACTGTTATAGACTCTATGCCAGTGTGGCATTTTCTGATTGGTTGGATGACATCCATTTACATTGTAAACTATCAACACATGACCATATATACTGTTACAGTTCATTTTCACAGGATAAAATATTTGCCTTTAAAATTTTATTTTACTCGCAACTTCCATAACTATTTCCTATACTGTACATAGCCACAGAACGACAGCATTACAAGGAAATATAAAGGACGTGTGTGAACTATTTATTGTTATGATTTAAGTATATCAGTGTGCCCAAAACCCCATACATCAGCATTCTCGTATGTATACCTAATACAAACAAATACGTAGGCAAGTAAAAATTGTAATTAAATTAGCTATTTGTACGTTAACACTAATGTTACTAGGCATTTCTAATATTTACCAACCATTTAACAACCTTAATATATCATAATATGTTTATAGGATTTGTAACAGAAATACAGTATTAATAATAGTTGAAACTAATACTAACTTCTGATCAAAATAAGCTACTTACGTAGATCAGAATTAAAAATACATATACCTAATAGTTAGCACAGTTAATTAAGTATAGTGTTCAAACTATGTTACTTATAATGACAATCCTCTATTAATCCACACTTTGTGTGAATTTATTTGTTTTGGAGTTACTAGGACCAAACTTGGCAGGCGGACTCGTGGTGGCCCGGGGGAATCGTTATCTATATTTCGTTTCCATACCACCACCATCAAGTGGGCCTAAAACATGCCCGGAAAGTTACCCAGGCATAAAGATGGTCTAGTATTTGGTTTTTAGGGTTGTTGAACTCAAATGTGGTATTAGATTGTGTTTTACTTAACTATAGGAAACTAAAACGCACCCGGAAGATTCCATAGGCATGACGAGGGTCTAGAAGTATGTTTTCAGGATCGCTGAACCCGAATCTGTCGCATAATTCTGTGTTCCTGGTCCTCTTAAGGATTCCGTGGCGCCATGTTTGAAATTGTATCCATACCCCCTTACATGATCAGCTACCACGGACTATTAACGCGGTTTATTTTCGGGTACTGGCCCTCTTGTGCTAATTAGAAGTAACTGATGATAATTAGGAAGCTAGATCAGACATTGGAGCCTCTTAGACTCATGAGGGGGCGGTTGAACCCCACAAAGAGCGTTGATATTTTATGATAGTGATTAGAATGCAGTGTCTCATCAGTTGGGTAGCCTCACTATTTATAGTATTCCCGGCCATAAACCCAATAATATCTCGTGAGATTTGGCTAGCCCAGGTGACTTATTTTTTAAATAAGTCCATATACTGTGCTAAAATAAGATATTTAAGATATGATAGTAAGTAGAAGGATAGGAATTGAAAATCATACATAACATTTTATATGAAATTTTCTTCTCTTTTTTCCCCTCAAGGAGTTTGAAAAAGAAAAACGTATCAACATGGAAAAACGTATCGAACTACAAACCATCAACAGAATTTTAAATAAAGAGCTTCAGGTTTTAAAAACCCAATACCAGAGTCCAAGAGAAAACAATAAAATTGATAAGAGGAATGTGAGTAAACAAAGCTATAAGGAAGCAAACGTGAAACTTTGCTTTTGTAGAGATTATTATACTATCGCAAGCCAAAACAAAGCACTTCAGGAAAAGTTGGTGACATTACAGCAGGAAGTTATGCAAATGAAGGAAAATCATATGCCCAAAGCATTGCACATGGCCAGTAACCAGGGTAATGAAATTGAACCTCTTACTCCCGAGTCTGAAGTAGAAAGTTTTGCCGTGAGAAACAAATCACCACAAGGGGAAGAATCAGACATTATGCCCAGTGACAAAGATTGAAGTGCGTCAAGATACAGTGCAATGGAATCTTTATTAAACAGGGTACAGGGTAGTAGGAAAAAAGCAGCTAGACACCTGACTTGTATTGAATAATGAAAGTAGAAGATTTATTCTTAACTTACATCAGCCGGAGATTTACAAATGTCGTGTTATTTCAGCCATAAAATAAAATCTCGGATAAAGGGAATCCTTCCATTTGTTATGTTATTATACCTGTCCAAACCAGAACTCTGTCCTCAAAAGTTTGAACTTGGTGTTCTTGGCATGTGTTCACATTATAACTGTGGTTATAATTTAATGTGCTTGCACAAAATTTTACTTCAGTATTTTACAGACAAAGGTAAAAAAAATCTGTTTCCAAAGTATTCTTTGCTGTTTAAGGTTCCTTGGCTGAAGATTAACATGTAAACTGTGTTTTGTAGCTCACATACTTGGCATTGGGATGTTAAAGGAAAGGAGTTAAACATTGAAAAAAAAAACATGTAAGCATTGTGACATAGATGTATTAATGTAAATATAGTTATGGCACTACGTTTGACTTTTTCACCTTGCCATACAGCTTAGAGAAATCCTGTTTAACAAGCTACACAGAAAGATTGTGTAAGACTTTAACAAGCTACACAGAAAGATGGTGTAAGACTTTAACAAGCTACACAAAAAAGTTATGTAGGACTTTAACAAGATGCACAGACAAGCTATGTAAGACTTTAACAAGCTACACAAACTGTAAAATAGTAAGCTTCATGTCACTGAACAAGTGTGCTTTCTATGTATTAAAATTTGAGGTTTCATGGAAAACAATATGTATGAATACTTGTATTTTAACAACTCATTCTTATAACAAATGTTCAAGTGTGTGAAGTCCCCTTTCATTTTAGAAAAACTAAACATCACAAGTTATGTTATGAAACCGGATTTTCTTATACCATGTTTTATTGTTCAGTATGTCAATAGACAACTCTGTAAACGTTACATGTTATGAATCCAGTTTTTCTCATACCATATTTTATTGTCCAATATGTCACCAGACAACGCTGGTTGGCAGCCATTTGGATCCAATAAAATCCTTAGTCATTTATATTCCACCCCAACATACTTTCATTTAAATGTTTAGTTTTTGTTTTTAATTTTTGATGCCAAAAAAGGGCAAGAACCATGAGATATTATTAAAGTTGTGTATAAAGCAGTATTCCCTTATTGCCTTTGTAACTCAAGTTTTGTTTAAGAGTCTCTTAATCAAATCTTTAATGTGTGTTTGGTCAGTAGAACTGTACTTCAAGTAAGCATTACTCGAAAAATTAATGTTACTCTTAGCCAAGCCAGTAATCTGTCCGGAAATATTTTGTTTGTAGTCAGAATTGTATGGCCGAAGATTAGTTTTTCATTACCTATTACTGTACCCAAATTTACTACTTGTTTTGATTATGCATGTATATGACCTTTGGCTAATGGATTCACATCTCGATCTCTGAAATGCATAAGATTTTATTGTTTTTGTCATTGATGGTATCCTCTTACTTACTACTTTTAAGACAACTTATGCCTGTGTGATATGTCTCATTGGTTAAAATACCAGAAGCTTCCATTAACGGAATTGTTTAAATAATTTACTACAAAGTTGTTCAAAGTTATCTTTCTAAAGTTGTATGCTAGTTCTTTTCAATTCTCACCGATTTACACAAATTAATGTACGAGAATATGCGAGGAGTCCATAAGCTTAGCAAACAGGCTTTCAAAGGACCGACAAGCATTGGTGCTGCACTTCAAATATTTTTCATACAGAAGAGATGTGTGAAGCAACTAGCTTTTGGGCTACTATGTATGTGAAACCTAGTGATTAGTGTAGAAATGGTTAAAAATTGCATTACGTTAAGAGCTTACATTCTTTTCTACACCGAAGTTAACTATAAGTCAGAAATGTAAAGAGCCTACATTATAGTCTCAGACATTCCCTCGTTTTTTATAAATCAGGTTAACAATAAGTCAGAAAGAATTGTTAAGAGCCTACGTTATAGTCTCAGACATTTCCTTTGTTTTATAGATCAGGTTAACAATAAGTCAGAAAGAATTGTTAAGAGCCTACGTTATAGTCTCAGACATTTCCTTTGTTTTATAGATCAGGTTAACAATAAGTAGAAAGAATTGTTAAGAGCTTACATTATAGTCTCAGACATTCCCTCGTTTTTTATAAATCAGGTTAACAATAAGTCAGAAAGAATTGTTAAGAGCCTACGTTATAGTCTCAGACATTTCCTTTGTTTTATAGATCAGGTTAACAATAAGTCAGAAAGAATTGTTAAGAGCCTACGTTATAGTCTGAGACATTTCCTTTGTTTTATAGATCAGGTTAACAATAAGTCAGAAAGAGTTGTTAAGA